AATTCCACGCTAACAATATTTTCAAGAGTATAGGATATTTTCTTACCTCTGTCATTTCTTTAAAAATAGCATTAAAAAAAGATAAAATTATTTTGCCCAAACATTGTTAATAAAAGAAAAAATAGCTAAAAATTATTATATTAAAAAATTATTATATATCCAGGGCTTCTCTGAAAGACAAACATTATACATTGGCTTCTAATTTTAAATTGTTCATTTTATAAACATGACTTTGGTTGATCTTTGACATAAAACAAATTTGATTTTCCTTAATTCTGTGATTTAGATATTTCCCACATTGAGCAAATAATAAAATTTGTATTTATATTTTTAAAAAGTCATTCACTCATTCAACAAATATTTATTGACTGCCTGCTATATGGCAGGCCCAGGCCCTGTGCTTAATGCCAAGGATACAGTAGTGAATGAGACAAATGACTGGGTTCTGCCCTCAAAGAGTTTATATTCTAGTGGTTGAGACAGAAACAGACAAAAGCAAGTAATTAGTAGATAAATAAGATTATTGCATGTTTTCGTGAATACTAATGAAGGTGATTAAAGTGGGCAGCCAAGACTGAAACCACCGGGGTGGATGCAATTTTAAATGGAGACAGGGTCAGAAGAAACCTCTCTGAGGTTGTTTAAATGAATACAGGGATCATCAGCCTGTGAAATGTAAAGGCAAGAGCATTATTCCAGATTTCTGGCTTGTGATCATTATGTCTTATTTATCTTTCTCCTTGACATAGTACAGGCCTTGATGTTGTGGAATGAAAAGTTGACTAATCTCTGGCCCTTTTGGTCTTCCTCAGACTTCCAGGATGGCATATCCTCCCTTGATCAGTTCAAAGTCAAGTCATACTTCTGGACTCAGCGCCAGTCCCATCTCCTCCAGGGAACCTTACTTAACAATCAAAATACTCTTCAACTATAAAGAAGGAAATTTTGCCATTTGGGACAACATGGATGAACACTGAGGGATTACGCTAAGTGAAATAAATCAGAGAAAGACAAATACTGTAATGTCTGGGAGTCCCTGATGGCTTAGCGGTTAGGATCCAAACTTTCACTGCTATGGCCTGGGCTCACTCTCTGATCAGGGAACTGAGATCCTGTAAGCTGTATGGCCTGGTTAGAAAGAAACAGACACTGTAGTATCTCACTGACATGCAGGATCCAGAGAAGTCAGACTCAGAAACAGAAAGTAGATTGGTGTTTGCCAGGCCCTGGCGGGTAGGGGAAAAGAGATATTGGTTAAAGGGTACCAACTTCCAGTTATAGGGGAATAAGTTCTAGGGATCTAGTGTACAGCATGAAGACTATAGTTTAAAATATTGTATTGTAGACAGCATATTAAAAAGCAGGGACATTACTTTGCCAACAAAGGTCCATCTAATCAAGGCTATGGTTTTTCTAGTAGCCATGTATGGATGTGAGAGTTGGACTATAAAGAAAGCTCAGCACTGAAGCATTGATGCTTTTGAACCATGGTGTTAGAGAAGACTCTTGAGAGTCCCTTGGACAGCAAGGAGATCCAACCAGTCCATCCTAAAGGAAATCAGTCCTGAATATTCATTGGGAGGACTGATGCTGAAGCTGAAACGCCAATACTTTGGCCACCTGATGCAAAGACTGACTCATCTGAAAAGACCCTGATGCTGGGAAAGATTGAGTGTGGGAGGAAAAGGGGACGACAGAGGATGAGATGGCTGGATGGCATCACTGACTCAACAGACATGAGTTTGAGTAAACTTTGGGAGTTGGTGATGGCCAGGGAGGCCTGGCATGCTGCAGTCCATGGGGTTGCAAAGAGTTGGACATGACTGAATAACTGAACTGAATACTTGAAAATAGCTATAAGAATAGATCTTAAATGTTCTCATCAAAACAACAAATGGTAATTAGGTGAGGTGAAGGATATGTTAAATGTGTTAACTAATCTTACTGAGGTAACCATTTTGCAATATGTGTGCAACAAGTCATCACATTGTACAACTTTAACAGTTATATGTCAGTTTTATCTCAATAAGGCTGTGAAAAAAAAATCAAAACATTGGTAGCAAAGAAGGTGGTAAGCTCAAAAGCCCAGGACAAGAAAGCAAGATAGAGTAGGGAAATTCCCAAGTAGTTCCATATGGCTGGGCCTTAATATTTGAAGGAGACAATGATGACAGACAAGGTTGAAAGGGTGACAATGGTCACATCATTCAGTCAGTAAACACTTACTGAGGATGTACAGTGTACTGGGTATTGGACATGTAAACCTATTCCTTGTTTTCACAGACTCACAGTCAAGGATGGAGAGATAGACAATTGATAATGAAAAATCATTTTAAAAAGTGCTAAAAAGGGAACTTCCCTGGTGGCCCAGTGTTTAAGGATCTGCCTTGCAGTGCAGAGGCTGTGGGTTTGATCCCTGGTCTTGGAACTAAGATCTAACACGCTGCGGGGCCACTAAACCTGCACCCCACAACTTAAGAGTGTGTGTCTTGCAATGAAGCTCCCATGTGCCACAGCTAAGACCCGACACAGTCAAATAAATAAATATTTTTTTTAAAGTGCTAAAAAAAAAAAGGAATCAATTGGGTGAAGAGATAAGGGAAAACATATTTCAGGTTGGGTGATCAGTGAAGGCCTAACTATAGACATGTTATTTACACTGAAAGCTGGGGGATGAAAGGGAAAAATTTTCCGAGAAGCATTCCAGGCCGAGCAAACAGCTTGGCTCAAGTCTCTGAGATAAGAAAGAACTTGATACAACCAAGGAATTGAAAGAAGGTGGATATTGCTGGAGCTCAGTGATGAAGGGGTAGAGTATTGAGAAAAAAGATGGGCTAGTGAGTGAGGGAATATATTGATCATGGCCTTGTAGAAGTCTGTATTTCATTCATTCATTCATTCATTTCATTCTAAGTGAAATTGGTAGCCAGCCACTGATAAGTTTTTAAGAGGAGCGTGACATGATAGGGTTTCAGTTGCAGAATACCCATTCTGGCAAGCATGTGAAAACATATTGAAGAAGGACAAGACTACTTTTGTGAAAATTCCTTTAAAAGCATTGCATAAGCTAACCTATGCTATTAGAAGTCAGGACAGTGGTTATTTTTCCAGGGTGGTGACTAAAAGGCAGCATGAGGGGAGACTGGAAAGGTGCAGAAAATGTTCTTTTCTTTTAAAATTTATTTTTGTGTTTATTTTTGGCCTCACTGGGTCTTCGTTACTGCTCCTGGGTTTTCTCCTGTTGCAGTGAGCAGGTTCTAGTCTTCATTGTGGTGCGTGGACTTATCATTTTGGTGGCTTCTCGGGTTGTGGAGTACTGGCTCTAGGACATGTGGGCTTCAGTAGTTGTGGCTCACGAGTTCTAGAGTTCGAGCTCAGTAGTTAGGGTGCACATGTTTAGTGGCTCCGTGGTGTGTGGGATCTTCCTGGACCAGGAATTGAACCTGTGTCTCCTGAATTGGCAGGCAGATTCTTAACCACTGGACCACAAGGGAAGTTCCTGCTTTTTTTTTTTTTTTTGATGAGTTGAGTATGTATGTTTAGTTTGTGACTATCCAAGGTGTATCCTTGAGATATGTGAATTTTTCCATATGTGTGTTGTGCATGGGTGCTCAGTGGTGTCTGACTCTGCGATCGCCAGGTGCCTCTGTCCATGGAATTTTCCAGGCAAGAATACTGAAGGGGAGTTCCCATTTCCTACTCCAGGAGGTCTTCCTGACACAGGGATTGAACCCAGATCTCTTATGTATTTTGCCTTGGCAGGCAGAGTCTTTACCACTGCATATTTCAACAAAAAAGATTTAAAGAAAAAGCTATCGAATGAAACTATGCTATATTCTTCAAGACTGTTGTTGGGGGAAGAAATGGACTTCCCTGGCAGTCCAGCAGTTAAGATTCTGCACTTCCCATGCACGGGGCAAGGGTACCATCCCTGATCAGAGAACTAAGGTCCCACATGCTGCACAGCGTGGCAAAACCAAAAACCAACACATACACACACACAACAAAAAAGAAAAAAGGGACAGAATATGTTCCAGATTAAGGAAAAAAAAAAGATGATGCCAACATAGATGCCTGATCTTGAACCAGGAGATAAAACGCTACTATGTAAAGGGTATTATTGAGATAACTGGCAAAATGTGAATATGGGCTTTATATGATAGTGTTGAATGAAAGTTACATTTCTTGAATTTTATAATTGAATTATGACTACAAAAAGGGCAAGGAAGCCTGGCGTGCTCCAATCCATGGGGTCGCAGAGTCGGACACGACTGAACGACTGAACTGAACTGAACTGAAGAGATAGTCCTGGGGCCTCCCAGGTGGTGCTAGTGGTTAAGAACCAGGCTGCCAACAGGCAGGAGACCTAAGAGAAGCGGGTTTGATCCCTGAGTCAGGAAGATCCCCTGGAGATGGGCATGGCAACCCACTCCAGTATTCTTGCCCAGAGAATCCCAGTGACACAGGAGTCTAGCAGGCTACAGTCAGGACGGTCGCAAAGAATGGGACAAGACTGAAGTGACTTAACACACACACACAAAATGAATAAACTCAAGACATATTTTGGAAGTAGAACTGACGAGATCGCTTTAATTGATAAAGCGAGAAATCACTCACGTAAACAAACCCTCCCCCGAAGGCCGAAGTTAGCCCCGCCCTTTCCCTGGTGTTCCAAGAGGAGGAAGTGAGGAAAAACGGAAGCAACCGCCAAGTTACCGGCAAGCTTCCGGTCTGGCGTCGCAAAGAGGCCGTAAATCGGAGAACTCTGTTTGGCCCCTCCCCCATAATGGGCGGTCCTGGAGAGTGACAGAAACCAATGGCGAGCGACTCCTCAGGCACTCACCCAATGGCTCTGGAACTGGGCGGGGTTCTTTGCCATGAGGCTTCCTAACGCCGATACCCGCGTTTCTGCCGAGGTTTGGTCATTTCTGCCAACGTGAGTGTAATCTCTACAGAGCAAGTGGACTTTAAACCCAAAGTGCGAGAGCGATACGTGGGGGATGGGCCCCGCACCTGCGAGAGCGGAGCATCGCGGAACTGCTGGGGAGCCGGAGGTGGGCGAGCGGCCTGGGAGGAAGGGATGCGCAGCGTGCCGGAGACAGCAGAGCCTAACAGCTTGCTAGCGAGGGGCACGAGAGTGGCCCCTTAGGGCAGAGCCTCATTTCCCCCGATGCTTCCAGCTTAGGATACCGAGACAGGGCTTGCTAAGGGAGATAGAACTTGGCTTTACCTGCAAAGTAGTAAAACCTATGGACCGTCTCTGTTCGTTAGCTCTACACCTTGAGATTGAAGAGACCCGCCCCCATTCCCTTCCGCGGCTTGGGTCTTTCCCCTAAGTCCTTGTGGACCTTGGGCAGGATTTTCTCCCCTCCCGTGTCTAGTTTTGTGCTCCCCACGTGGTGGCAGTCCTGGCGCGCTACAGTAAGGCTCTTCCGGCTGTGGAACCCTGGAGGGGGGCGGAGCCCAGGGCTGCAGGGTAGCAGGTTTGGGATCTCGCAGACCAGGGTTTGAAGCCTGCTCACAGTTTAATCATACCAACTGGAACCACAAGCTCAACGGAGCTTCGTTCAGGTGTTTGTTTTCTGTTAGTATTATTATAAGGATTGAATGATTTATTGAGTATATCCTTCAGAGCCAGTAGGCGCCATCACTGAGCACTTAACGTATACTGATACAGCCTATAGTCAGGGCTTGCTGGGGCAGGGGGTGCGTGTGTGTAACCTGGCAGGATTTGGATAGAGCAAGAGTGGAGTTGGCATTTGCGACGTTCCATTACTAACTCATCAGAAGAGAAGGTCTTGTAACTTGGAAGTACAAGGAGCTCAGTTATTGCTTCCAGGGCCCATTCATCTATTACCCGTACTGACTCCAAGCAGAGCTACATGCTTGTGCTGTTAGATGGGAATCCTCAACTCAAGGAGTTTTCAGTCTAGAGCTCAGTAAATTCTTTTAACTAAAAATTATTCAGAGTTTTACACAATCTGATTCCTGTTCAAGAGAGACCAGGAGCAGGTGAAACCTTGACCTGCATCTGGTCCTGGTGGCACAACAGGCAGTGGATGCTGGATGTCTGTGATGTCACCCCGGCTTCTCTCTCTCATTGGCCACAGGTGATGGAGTCAGCTCTGGAAGGCACAGGCAAAGAGGGGAAGAAGGAATCCTTAAAGAAGCGTAAGATAGCTGGGTCTCCAGGGGAGGGCCTCCTGCAGCCTGTGAAGCTCAGCCGGGCAGAACTCTACAAGGAACCTACCAATGAGGAGCTCAGTCGCCTTCGGGAGACTGAGAGTCTGTTCCATTCCAGCTTGCTTCGTTTACAGGTACTGTTGGGTGGTTGGGGCTTGGATTAGAGGGATGGGCTGAGACCCTGAGGCTGAAGTACTACTTTCTTCTGCACCATCTTACAGGTAGAGGAGTTACTAAAGGAAGTGAGGCTGTCAGAGAAGAAGAAAGAGCGGATTGATGTTTTCCTACGGGAGGTCAACCAGCGGATCATGAAGGTGCCCTCAACCCCTGAGACAGAGGTAAGTCAAGTAGTGGAGGGAATTGGAAAGCCCAGAAAAGGTCCTCAGGGACCTTGTTATTCTTTGAAGGGGATGGGGTGCTAGGGAGTTCATTCTCACTGCCAGAAGGCTCAGCTGGGAGTGCAGTCACTTATTTGTTCATTCAGCAAACACTTACGTGCCTTGCAGTAGTTGTGTTCTTAGGATGTGTTGTGCTTCGTCGCTCAGTAGTGTCCGATTCTTTGCAACCCCGCAGACTGTAGCCTACCAGGCTCTTCTGTCCATGGGGATTCTCCAGGCAAGAATACTGGAGTGGGTTGCCATGCCCTCCTCCAGGGATTCTTAGGATACATCAGTGAGCAAAGCAGCCTGTGTTCTAGTGTTGGAATATGGACACTAATATAATGAACATGACAAGTAAACTGTATGGCAGTGTTAGGAAGTGGTGGTAAGCACTATGGAAAAAGGAAGAAGGACACATTAAGGGAATCATGGGAATATCAGAGGATGAGAGTGGTTGGCAACTTTAAATAGGGTGGTTGAGGTAGGCCTTACTAAAGTGACATTTGTGTAAAGAAAGTGAGTCAGCCGTGTAGATATTTAAGGGAAGAAGATCATTCCAGGAAGGGGAAACAGCCTACTCAGAGGCTCAAAGGCAAGAATAGGTCTGGTACTTCCTTGGAATGAGTGAAGGGAAGATAGAAGGAGGTGACTTTAGGAAGGAAATGGAGGAAGCGGGTATATCATGCAGGGCCTTGTGCACCAGAACAAGGACTTTGAGCTGTTGCTTTGGGGCTTCCCTGGTGGCTTAAATGGTAAAAAATCTGCCTGCAACGCAGGAGACCTGAGTTTGATCCCTGGGTTAGAAAGATCGCCTGGAGAAGGGAATGGCAACCCACTCCAGTATTCTTGCCTGGAAGATTCCATGGACAAAGGAGCCTGGCAGGGCTACAGTCCACGGGGTTGCAAAGAGTCGGATACAACTGAGGGACTAACAATTTGGGTGAGCTGGGGATAATGACAGTGTTTTGTTTTTGTTTTGTTTTGTTGTTGTTGTTTTATAAAGTGATTCTGTGACCTAACTTCCGTTTTAAGAAGTTCACCCAGACTATTAAAAGTAGAATGGAGGGGAACAAAGATGAAATCAGGGAGACTAGTTAGGAACCTGTTGTGCAGTAATCCACTGAAAAATGGCTCCGACTAGGATAGAGTAGAGAAGTGATCAGTGTCTGGATACCTTTGTGAAATGGGTGTTTGTTTCCTCTTAACCTTTATTTATTTATTTGGCTGCACTGGGTCTTAGTGGTGGCATGCTCACCCTTAGTTGCAGCATATGTGATCTAGTTCCCTGACCAGGGATTGAACCCATACCCCCTGCATTGGGAGTGCAGAATCTTAGCCACTGTACCATCAGGGAAGTCCCCAAATGGGAGTTCTTAACAGAGATGAGTCAAGGTGATTTAAACCTTTTTAGCTTGAGAAGCTAGTATGGAGTTGCCTTAATGGGGAAGACATATTTATAGGAAGATCAGGAGTTTGGTTTCAGATGTTTTGACATGCTGAATTTGAGATGTCTACTAGACATTAAGGGGATGTGTTAGGAAGGTAATCAAATATGTGTCACTGTCTCTATTTCTGCAGCTCACCAACCAGGCATGGCTCCCAGATGGGGTTCAAGTCCCTATCCACCAAGTGCCCTATACTGTGAAGGGCCGTTTCCATTTCCTGCCCCCAGCCCAGGTCACTGTTGTGGGAAGTTACCTTCTGGGCACCTGCATCCGGCCGGACATCAATGTGGATGTGGCACTGACTATACCCAGGGTAAGATCCAGAGTTTGGGATGGAGAGGTCTGCCATTCCACCACCTACAAATCCTGGATCCCTTTCTTTTTCCCACCTCCCACTTGCCAGAGGATTGAAATTTGAATTTTGAATCTAAAGAACAGACCACTGCAGTTGTCCTGACGGAGCAGCACTTTGCCTTCCTCATCCAAGATATGGTGTTGCTCGCCTTGACTTTAGCATCCTCGCCAGCAGATGGGGTTGCCAAGCTTTGCTCTCACCTTGGCTTCATCTTGGCCCCCAAGTCCTCCATCAGCAAACAATCAAGCAACTTGGCCGTCTCTCTCTCTCTTCTGACCCCCTCCAGGAGATCCTACAGGACAAGGATGGGCTGAATCAGCGCTATTTCCGCAAGCGTGCCCTCTACCTGGCCCACTTGGCTCACCACCTGGCCAAGGACCCACTTTTCGGCAGTGTTCGCTTTTCCTACACCAATGGCTGCCACCTGAAACCCTCGCTGCTGCTGCGGCCTCACGGTGGGAGGCACACGTTGGGTGGAAGGCACAGCATAGGGTGATGGACAGATCTGGTAGGGGAGGCAAAGGGGCCTTAAGTCCATGGTGAGAGAAGACTTGGGCCTCAGGTCTCAGGGGAAAGGTATTGGGACCTCAAATCCTGAGGTGGGCAGGCATGGGACCCTTGTGGGGGGATAGTGCAGGGGCTTCTCTGACTCCAGGGCAGCTGTAGGGTCTCAGCATCACCCGTCTCCCCCAGGGAAGGATGAGCATTTGGTTACCGTCCGTCTGCATCCCTGCCCTCCACCTGACTTCTTCCGCCCGTGCCGCCTGCTGCCATCCAAGAGCAATGTGCGCTCTGCCTGGTACCGAGGGCAAAATCCTTCGGGGGATGGTGAGTAGACAGTGGTGTCAAGGCTGGGTTGGAGGAAAGGGTATTGTGGGGCTCTCTCCTCTCACGGTCCCCCCTTTACTCCCACAGGTAGCCCAGAACCCCCCACCCCCCACTACAACACATGGCTCCTGCAGGACACAGCTCTTGAATCCCACATGCAGCTGCTGTCAGCTGTGCTGGGCTCAGCCTCAGGACTGAAGGACGGGGTGGCACTTTTGAAGGTCTGGCTGCGGCAGCGGGAACTGGACAAGGTGAGCTGGAAATGGCCCGGTTTCCCCGGGCCTCGCTGAGTGGTGGGCTGGCTCTGAGCTTCGGCCTCTCCATCTGTTTCTCCCTCAGGGTCTGGGAGGATTCAGCGGGTTCCTTGTCTCCATGGTGGTGGCCTTCCTTGTGTCCACACGCAAGATCCACACCACCATGAGCGGCTACCAGGTGCTGAGAAGCACCCTGCAGTTTCTGGGTGAGGCGGCTGGACTCGGAAAGGCCAAGGGTCCTGATCATCCCCATCAGGGATCATTTGGTTTATTGTCCTCAGACAAAGGAATAAAGTGAACCTCTGAGTCAGACAGTTGCAGTCACCTGTCTGGAGGGTGGGTGTCACAGGGACTGGGTCCTTAGAAAGGCGGATACCTTCTGACACCACCACCTTCTCTGGTTCATTTCAGCCAGTACAGATCTGACCGTCAACGGGGTCAGTTTATGCTTCAGCTCAGATCCTTCCCTGGTGAGTAGGGCGGTGCTGAGTTTGGTCTTCCCAGGTGGCGCTAGTGGTAAAGAACCCACCTGCCAATGCAGGAAACATAAGAGACAAGGGTTTGATCCCTGGGTCGGGAAGATCCCCTGGAGGAGGCCATGGCAACCCACTCCAGTATTCTTGCCTGGAGAATCCCATGGATAGAGGAGCCTGGTGGGCTAGTCCACGGGATCACAAAGAGTCGGACACGACTGAAGCAGCTTAGCACGCACACACAAGTCGGCCCGGAGCCCTGAAGTTAAGGCCCAGCCCTGACTGGGCCTTCTGACTTCTCTCTCTCTCTCCCAGCCGGCCCTGGCTGACTTCCACCAGGCCTTCCCTGTTGTCTTCCTGGACTCCTCGGGCCGTCTCAACCTCTGTGCTGATGTCACTGCTTCCACTTACCACCAGGTACCAGTTGTCTCCCAGTGTCCCAGCGCAGACTCTGTCCCTTCTGCCAGCACCAGGGCACCAGCAACTCCTCTCTAGAGCATGTCTCTGCGTCTGGGCCCTGGGTTCAGTAAGGGGAGAGAGCAGTGATGCTGGTCTCACATGGCGGGTTCCTTGCTTGCTCTGTGACCGCAGGTGCAGCATGAGGCTCGGTTGTCTATGGCGCTCCTGGACAGCAAAGCTGACGATGGGTTCCAGCTGCTCTTGATGACTCCCAAACCCATGATCCGGGCTTTTGACCACATCCTGCAGTGAGTTTCAGGGTGATGTGTCAGTGAGTCCTGTTGCCTCAAGGGCTAGTGAGGGGGCCGAGATCTTCCACCTGGTACTCTGATCAATCTCCCTAGTGATGGCGGGGGTGATACCTGGGGCCAGCAGTACTTGATGCCCCCTCTTTGTCCCTCCCTGCCTCCACACCCCCCAGCCTCCGTCCACTGAGTCGCCTGCAGGCAGCATGTCACCGGCTGAAGCTGTGGCCAGAGCTACAGGATCTCGGTGGGGACTATGTCTCAGCGGCTTTGGGCCCACTCACCACCCTCCTGGAGCAGGGCCTGGGGTCCCGGCTGCAGCTGCTGGCCCACTCTCGGCCCCCAGTCTCAGAGGTGAGGTGGGGTGGGTTGGGGAGTTTCTGGGACTGAGAGAGGAGGACCGTGGGGCCCAGGGGATACACAAGATAACACCATCCCTCTAACTAGAAAGGGGGTTTCCTGACCCAGCTGGGGGGCACTTGGACTGAGCTCGGCCTCTCTACACCCTGCAGTGGGACATCAGCCAGGAGCCACCAAAGCATAGAGATCCGGGTGTCCTGACCCTGGGATTGCTCCTCCGGCCTGAGGGGCTGACCAGTGTTCTTGAGCTGGGTCCTGAGGCTGACCAGCCTGAGGTGAGGAGCTGGGGGTCTCAGGGGTGATTCTGCCCTGTCTTGGGAAGCCCAGCATGTGCGCTGGCAGGAATGGGGTGGACTATCCTTTTGCCCCTGGCTCGAGCCCTGTCGGGAGATTTCTGACAGAAACCCTGCCCTGTTGCTCTCTCCTACCATCATCTTCTCCCTAGGCCGCCGGCTTCCGCCAGTTCTGGGGCTCTCGCTCCGAGCTTCGGCGCTTCCAGGATGGAGCAATTCGGGAAGCTGTGGTCTGGGAGGCTGCGTCTATGGCCCAGAAGCGTCTCATTCCCCACCAAGTGGCCACTCATCTCTTGGCACTGTGAGTGTTAGCATCTGAATGCCAGGAGGCGGGCATGGGCTGCGGAGCCTCTTAGGAGGCTCTGGCCCAAGCTTTTGGGGTGAGCTGCTCATATCCAGCAGCTCTCTCCCTGGCCCCCACTGCCCACACTCTGTGCCCCTTTTCCAGCCACGCTGACATTCCAGATACCTGTGTCCACTATACGGGGGGCCTCCTGGACCCACTGATTCAAGGCCTGAAGGAGGTGAGGGCCCTGGTTTAGAGCTGGGGTCAAGGCTAGGGACGGTTGGGTGAGTAGCCTGTGTGGCTGGATTTGGTGGGGGCGGGAATGGGGCTGGAGAGCCGCCCCCCCTTAGCCAGGCTGCGCTTCCCCGAGTGTCCAGCAGGGGGCCCTCTGACTCTGCAGCAGCAGCAGGGCTGCATCCTGGTTGGTCCGGCTCTCCTGTAAGGTCCTGCCCTGCCGATTGTCTTTTCTCCCCTCAGACCTCCAGCACCGGTGAGGAGGCCCTGGCAGCTGCAGTGCGTTGCTACGACGACCTCAGCCGCCTGCTGTGGGGCCTGGATGGTCTGCCGCTGACCGTGTCTGCCGTGCAGGGCGCTCACCCTGTGCTGCGCTATACTGAGGTCAGGAGCAGGGAGCCCCTTCCGCTGGGTGACACCCGCCTCTGCTCACTCATCCAGTACTCTCCCTTCCAGCGCCCTGACTCTGGGCACCGCCCTCCCCGTCCTCTTTCTCAGCCTCCCTTCTCCCGCAGGTGTTCCCGCCAACCCCAGTCCGTCCAGCCCACTCCTTCTATGAGCATCTGCGAGAGCGGGCCTCGCTGTTGCCCCGGGCTGACAAGCCCTGCCCAGCCTACGTGGAGCCCATGACTGGTGAGGGAGCGCTTGCAAGGGGCCGAAAGGGACCGCTCTCCACCCCCGGCTGTAGACTGAGGCCTCCCCCCCTTCTCCACAGTGGTGTGTCACCTGGAGGGCAGTGGGCAGTGGCCACAGGATGCCGAGGCCATTCGCAGGGTCCGCGCCGCCTTCCAGCTGCGCCTGGCGGAGCTGCTGACTCAGCAGCACGGGCTGCCATGCCGCGCCACGGCCACGCACACCGACGTCCTCAAGGTTAGGCGGGCGCTGGGCAGGGATACGGGGGGAGGAAGGGACGGGGCGTCAGGCGCCCCCTCTCCCACCCCTCCCCTCTTCCCACAGGACGGGTTTGTGTTCCGAATCCGTGTGGCCTACCAGCGGGAGCCGCAGATCCTGAAAGAGACGCGGAGCCCCGAGGGGATGCTGTCGCTGAGGGACACGCCCGCCTCCCTCCGCCTCGAGAGGGACACGAGGCAGTTGCCCCTGCTCACCAGCGCCTTGCATGGGTAAGGCCACCTGCACAGGCTCTCGGAGACCCTCTCCCAGTCCCTCCTGGTCGCCTGGCCATCTGTCTGCGGAGTCAGGCCAGTTAGGGATGTGAGTGCTGGGCTGAAGTCAGGCAAGTGCTAGAAGAGCTAGGATTCTGGCCCTGCCGAAAACTTAACTGGCTTTGTCCCTTGAGCCCAAATCCCCCCCCCACACACCTGATTTTTCTCATCTGTAAAATGGTAATCATGCTAGGAACAACCTCTTGCAGTTATGAAGACATGAGATCATACATGTATGATCATATAGCACATTAGCACAGAGGCCAGTGTTGGGTGAATGTTGAGTGGTCAGGCTGAAAGTCTGTCCTCGGGAGAACGAAGTAGTTAGCAGCGATGGTGCTGCAGTGCTTGCTGCCCTGGAGTACTTGCCAGACGATCTTAGGGTCTGCAGAGGCTGCGCTCTGGGGTTTGAAGTCAATAAAAAGAAGCTGCCACAATTTTTGTACCGCTGTTTGTCAAGATGTCACTTATATGGAACTTTAAAAACCTCCTGAAGTCCAAAAAAATTATGTTAATTGATGTTAGAGAGCCATGGGAAATTCATGAGTATGGAAAAATTCCCCAGGTCCATCAATATACCATTGGATGATGTAGGTGAAGCTCTACAAAAGACTTCAAAGAGAAGTACATGGAGAAGGAAATGGCAACCCACTCCAGTGTTCTTGCCTGGAGAATCCCATGGACAGAGGAGCCTGGCGGGCTGCAGTGCATGGGGTCGCAAAGAGGCAGACATGACTGATAGACTAACACTTTCACTTTACTTTTTCAATACTATTAAGTGTACCCACATACCCACATCCAGCATTTTTTCATCTTGCAGAACTGAAACAACAACTTCCCATTTCCCCTCCCTGCAGTCCTTGACAATCACCATTCTATTTTTCGCTTCTGTGAAAAAAAAAAAAGAGAGACAAGTACAAAGAAGTAAAGCCATCTAAATCTGACAATCTAGTGTTTTCTTGTTTAGCTGGAGTGAGAAGCAAGAAGGCTGTGGTCACAGGAATATCTCTGGACTTTAACAGTGCTAAACACTATGCTGGAGGATGGAAGGAATGGGAAACCTATGAACTTTCAGAGAAGAAACAAGGAAATTGAATTTTGGAATACAAGCTGACCGTTTCCTTGTGTACATGCAGCCCAGAATAGTGGAATAAGCAAAAGAATAAAAATGTAGCCCTGGAACCACTGGTTAATGGGAAAGGGATTTTGTAAAAGTAAAAAAAAAAAGAAAGTCTGTCCTTGGGCCCAAGTGCCTGCGCCTCACCGCCTCTACCCTCTTCTTCCCACAGGCTCCAGCAGCAGCACCCAGCCTTCTCAGCTGTGGCTCGGCTGGCCAAGCGGTGGGTGCGTGCCCAGCTCCTGGGTGGGGAGGTCACCGATGAGAGCCTGGACCTGGTGGCTGCTGCCCTTTTCCTGCACCCTGAGCCCTTCACCCCTCCCAGGTGATGCCCTCCACCTTTCCCCTAGCCAGGAAGTTCCCCTGGGGTCAGCTGTCATCCTTGCTGCTTCAGTCCACTTGGGAGAGGTGACTGAACCTAGGGGCAGAAGGGGTTCTAAGACACCCCCACAGTCCAGACTAAGGGCTCGAGGCTCCCCAGACTGTGGGGGGCTGGGCGTGTGGCTGGGCCCCTGACACTCTGCTCACTCCTTCCTCTCAGCTCCCCCCAGGTCGGCTTCCTCCGGTTCCTTTTCCTGATGTCAACCTTCGATTGGAAGAACAACCCCCTAATTGTCAACCTCAACAATGAGCTCACTGGTAAGTGGTACGATGAGAGTCAGACTACCAGAAGAACTACCGTTTGTGGGTTGCAGAGGCGGGCAGGCAAGGGTTTTCCCTGTCAGCCTGTTAGGTTTTCTCTCTGCTTACCGCACCTGGGATGTCTGCTCCTGATTCTGGCTGCCTAGGGATGGGGAAATGTTAAGGAGGAAGAGGACCAGATCCAGCCTTCAGGGAGCTGTGAGGCTGTAGAGATGTGGTTTGCCCACGTAATGATCAGAAACAGAACGCACTGGGGGCAGTGAGCAGGCTACCTAGGGGACTGTGGAGGGAAGAGGAGGGAAGAAGAGGGACTCTGCAAACCAGGTCGGAAGTCTTAAGGTGGACCAGGGAACTGTGTAGGTGGGAGTAGGTGCCCAGACCTCAAAATGTGAGTGATGACTTCTGTTTGTAACGTGAGGAACTCCTGGTCCCAGCAGAGAGGAGGGTGTCAGCTTTCTAATTCCCCAGGTGTGTGGGAGCCCAGGGGAGGAGGGGGCCAGGGGCAGGCCTCAGCTTGTGCAGGCCCGGAAACCAGACCAGGATGCCAGGCAGTGGAAAATTCTGCTTTGGGCCCCGGCTGGAAGTTTACCACCCTGCCGATTGAGGCAGATGCGGTGTCCCTTTCATCACTTATGCCATGTGGGGGATGTTGGAGACTCCCTGTGGTGGGCACAGTGGGAGGACTTGGAGCAGTAGGGGGTGTCTGGGGAGAGGGATCAGCTGACCCAGGACCCCCTCTAATTCACAGCGGAAGAGCAGGTGGAGATCCGCAGTGTCTTCCTGGCAACCCGGGCAAAGCTCCCCGTCATGGTCATCGTTACCCCCCAAGATCGCAAAAGCTCCGTGTGGACACAGGATGGACCCTCGCCCCAGGTTTCGTTGCATTCTTGCTCCCAAATGTGTAGTTTTCTCCTTCAAGGAAAAAGCAGGCCCAGCCTGGGCTAAGAGAGACCCGTGGTCAGGTCTGACCTGCATAACCTGTGTGTGCCTCCCCAGATCCTCCACCAGCTCGTGGTCCTGGCAGCTGAGGCCTTGCCTGTCCTAGAGAAGCAGCTTATGGATCCCCGGGGGCCCGGAGACATCAGGGTAAGCCCCTGACCCAGACTGACTCCGAGGGCTCGGGGGTCTCTGCCTTTGAGCCATGGAAGCCCAGAGTTCTTGGGCCCTTGTTTGGTGAGACTTGAATTCAGAGAAGGCGCCATAGCTGCCCACGGTGCCTGGCTGTGGAGGCTGGAGGAGAACCGTGGCCCCAGCTTCGCTCTTGTAGCCCACGATCCTCCTGTGGAACCCAAGCTGCCACCAGCTGGGTCCTGGTGTTCCCACCTGGAGATGAGCATTTGGGCCCCTAATGGGGGCTCAGACAGAAGGGAAGGAAGGAAGCAGAGTGAGCCTGTGGAGGGGTTTGTGGTCCAGTTTCCAGCTCCCCAGTGGGCACTGCTGAGTCCTCCCTGCCCTTCCTCAGACCGTGTTCCGGCCACCATTGGACATGTACGACGTGCTGATCCGCCTGGCTCCCCGCCACATCCCCCGGCACCGCCAGGCCGTGGACTCGCCAGCTGCCTCCTTCTGCCGGGGCCTGCTCACTGAGCCAGGGCCCTCCTCTCTCATGCCTGTGCTGGGCTATGATCCGCCTCAGCTCTACCTGGCACAGCTCAGGGTAGGTCCTTGAGGGCTGGCTGGCCCTGGGGAGGAGGCTTCCAGGTGAGCTGGGGCTGTGGCGTTGGCTCTCAGGTTCCCACTGTAGTCTTTTTCTGGTCCTGCCCTTTCCTAGGAGGCCTTCGGACACCTGGCTCTTTTCTTCTATGACCAGCATGGCGGAGAGGTGATCGGTGTCCTCTGGAAGCCCACCAGCTTCCAGCCCCAGCCCTTCAAGGTGAGCTGGCTGGTGACAGTTGTCTCTTCCTGAGTGTGCACGTGTGTTCTGTGTGGGCGTGTGTGTCTGTGGCTCCACAGGTGACCCTGTGTCAGGCGTGAAGCGTGTGTGTCTCGGTTTCTGTGTGTATGCCTCTCATGACACTTCAATCCACGTGTCTCTGGCCCCCCCCAGGCCTCCAACACGAAGGGACGCATGGTGGTGTCTCAAGGCGGGGAGCCAGTGATGGTGCCCAATGTTGAAGCCATCCTGGAGGACTTTGCCATCCTGGGCGAAGGCCTGGTCCAGGCTGTGGAGGCCCGAAGTGAGAGGTGGACCGTGTGACCTCCAGCCTCGGAGCAAGCTCGATGGGCAGACCTCTGGAGCAAGATGTCAGTGGCCTGACCACCCTCACTGTGGATAGACCCTCCAAGGAGGGCTTGCTGGCCTGAGCACGCTGCCTTGTCCCCAACAAATCCCCGTCCTGATTTCCTGTCTGATGCCCCAGCACTGGGACAGAGGCCATGGTGTCCCGTGCAGTCTCCTGGACCTGACCAGAAGAGAACTGGGAGTCAGCTCAGAGGGGACACCGAGTGAGCCCAGGAGATCCAGCTACTTGTCAGCCTGGCCTGGGCCTTGCTTTCCTTCCCAGGTTGCTCCTAGAAGTCCAGAGAAGAGACTGTGTGCCCGGGGCTGAGGCTCTGTCCCCACCCCTCTGCCGGGATGTGGGCCTTGACCTCAGTACGCTCTTGGCTGCAGCGTCAGGGCTTTTACGGGGCCAAGAGAAGGCATGGCACTGCCCGAGGGTCACAGCGGCAGCACCGAGCAGCGCGGAGGGGGCTTCAGGGGGTGAAGGGGCATAGTGCCCTCTTGGGTTGGTCCTGCTGCTTCCCGGGGTGGGGACATGGAAAAGCACAGAAAACAGGGAGGGGCCGGGTGGGCGAAGTGCTGAGAGGGACTGGTAGTCAGTCCCCCATCCAGGAGAGATGCAAAAATTGCTCAGTGCTGCCCTGGCCTCTGGTGTCGGTGGCTCTGTGCTCCCACCTTGGGGGTACAGACGTGAGTGGGACCAAGACCTGCTCTCCAGGAGCTCCAGTGCCCCGAGGGAGGGGGTGCTGCTTCCCTTCAGCCTGGTCCACACCCCCTCCCAGCAGCCTCTCCCTAATCCTGGCTGTTTTTCCAGATTCAGCTCAAACAGTGACTCCTCCTTAAACCCTTCCCTCGCCCTCAGCCTAAGGTGCTCTTCCTCTGAAACATCAGAGCAATTACTGTCCATTCACTTCTCTTCACAGTCATGTACAGTGGCATAAACTCTTGTCTTAAATTCTGATTTAAAATTAAATCATTTTTTTTAAAAAAATTGTTTTAAGTTCCCCATGGCCTCAGCTTTTTTGCCTTTTCCATGTGGTTTCGACCTTGTCACCTGCAGGTCAGCTCTTTGGGGGCAGAAAACATATTTGAACAGATTCCATGACAGCTAGTACAGTCCTCCACCCAAGCAGAATGCAGGTGTGAGCAGAAGGGGCCCCTAGCTCAGGCAGATGGAGGGCAGGGCAGGCCCCCAGAAGACCTTCAAGGAAAAGAGAATCCTGATTTGTGATCTCTGCCTAGAATGGGTAAGGTTTTGATGGTGAAAGGCCTGAGAAGTAATAAAAAGTTGATGTTGGGAATTCCCTGATTGGTCCAGTGCTTAGGACTCCACAGTGGTTAGGTCTCACAGCCAACGGCCCAGGTTCAATCCCTGGTCAGGCAGAGAACCAATGAGTTGCGCAGCGCGGCCAAGAAAAAAAAAGTTGATGTTTGTTGAGTGTCTACCTAATAAGGGCTGGGTGCGCTTTGTTATTTTCCATATCTTACATAAGGAAATTGATCGTACAGTCATACCAGCCCTATGAAGTACTGCTTTTCCTCATTATCCTCATATTCTGAGTGAGGGAACAGGTTCGGCAACAGGTGGGGGCCTGTTTGTAGAGGGACTTTGATGCTTGGCTAGCTGGCTTTATCCTCAAGATGCTTAACCACACACGGGAACTCTGATTTCCAGTTCTGTCCCAGTTCTGTCCGTCTTTGAATCTGAGTCGGTCCCTGTCTGTCAGGGCCGTGGGGCAGCCTGGCCTGGGGCTGAAGCCAACACAGGTTACACTGATGGGCTGGGTGAACTGAGGTCTGCGTCTGCCTCCCTCCCTGTGACATTCATGGGCCCCAGACCTCACTGTGCCCGGCTGGACTTTCAGGGAGATGCCAGAGACGCAGCCCTAGCTCTCACGGAGCCCCGCGCTCTGTGGCTGTCGCTGGCTTCTCAGCTTCCCTTCCCCTTTGGTCCCTTGCGCGCTTTCTCCATAGCCTCTCCATGGGCTCTGGGGAGCGGCAGCTTCAGGCCTACAGCTTCTGTCACAGACCCAGTGCGGGCAGCGGGTGCAGTCTGCTCCCAGGTAAGCCCGTGGCTCCAGGAAGGGCAGACACCAGTCCCCCATCAGGGGAATGAGCTTGGCCCTGCTACTTTGCCATGTGGTCCTAGGCAGGTCACCCTTGCTAGTCTCAGCCTCCCCATCCTTAAACTGGGCACAACAGGGACCTCCCCTGGCAGTCCAGTTGTTAGGATTCCACCCTTCCTCTGCAGGGGACACGGGTTCGATTCCCAGTTAGGGAACTAAATCGGAGAAAAGCCACGATGATGGTTTCGTCAAGTGCCCAGTGCAACAAGAGAAGAGGGTAGGTCACTCAGAAAGCCAAGGAGGTGTGTACACCATGCTTTCTGCGCTCCCTGCTCCAGCTTGGTGTGGGGGTGAGGGAGCTTGAGCCCTGGGCTCCAATTTCAAGGCCTGCTCCAACCTGTTTCCTCGGGATTTTCTCTCCCGGAAGTAGGTAAGGAGGCTGGTGTGTACTAATGTGACCTTGGGGGAGGGGGGACACAGGAAGCTGGAACTGGAATGTCAGGGAAAGAAGAGAAGCGTCTAGGAGGAACTCTGATAGCGAGGGTGTGTGGGGTGGGGTGGGGGGAATGTGTGTCATGGGGCAACCCATGGGTACCTCTGCCCTGTGGGCCTCTGGACTTGCAGGTAGACATGGATGGGGTGGGAGGCTGTGTCTCACATACGGTGTGACGCTCTCTTTGTGTTGGTTGGGGTGGTGGGGTGGGGCTTGTGCGCATCTCTACACTAGTCTGTGTGAGCAGGTTTTTGCCTCTGGCCCCAAGGTGCTGTTAAAGGCAAAATGTGCTCTGTTTTTAAAGAGGAGGAAAAGCTCCCGGGAGGCAGGAACTCCGGATCCGTTCCTGCAAATGTGTGTGTGTGTGTGCGCTGAATTGCTTCAGTCATCTCTGAGTCTGTGTGACCTTATGGACTGTGGCTCACCAGGCTCCTCTGTCCGTGGGATTCTCCAGGTAGGAATACTGGAGGGGGTTGTCATGCCCTCCTCCAGGGGATCTTCCCAACCCAGGGATCAAACCCAAGTCTCCTGTGGCTTCTGCATTGCGGACAGATTCTTTACTGCTGAGACACTGGGGAAGCCCCTTGTAAATGTTAAGTGGCTTTAAATAAAGCTTTCCCCTTTTGGGGGCTTCAGTTTCCCTGGTTCTGTCAGACCTCCTAAGCCTCTCTCTGTCGTCACATTTAGTGAATTCTCAAAGGGTCATCCCTTCAGGTGGTGCTTTCTGACAACCTCCTTTAAACTAAAACCCTTTTAGCTGAAGACCCTGTTTTCCTCTGCCCAGCTCCTAACTGGAGGAAAAGAGACAGATTCCAAAGCCTAGGGGTCCTTGCAGCAGGTTATATTTCAGCGAAATCCTGAGGCTGCTCAGTCCCTGACCTAGTAAGTCAGATTGGGCTGGTCTGAGCCCCTCCACTTCCACCCCAATAAATATATACCTCATGCTGAGGGGATTCCTCAACTTCCGGTCCTTGCTTTGTGAGTCACAAATTAAAATCTAGGTGAGCGATAAAGATAAAGGGGAGGGGAAGCCTGGGGCAGGTGAGTCACCCCCATCTTGCTCAGGGAAGGCCAGCCTGCCCATCCCTCTGCTGCAGACAGAAGGCGGCATCTTGGGCTGCCCGGGGGAACTAAGGGGGACCAGGGTGTTCCAAACCCTGAGGGAGATTCACTTCCCTCTCCCACTTCAGTTTCTGGAAGAGGGAAGGAGAGGATCATTTTTCTGGTTTGCACGAGGCCCAGAGAGGTGTAGGAACTTGACCAGTGTCACACAGGGAGCTACAGAGAATCTATGTATCCTGGCGCCAGCCCTTGCTTCTGAGCTGGGCTTTCCTGGGGCCCAAGAGTCAGGTGATGAGGAATAAAAGAGTAGAAAGGTCAGAGCTCTGGACGTCTCCAGTAAGGGGGGAAGGAGTGAAAGTCAAGCCCCTTCTGCTGTCCTGGGCTTCCTGCCAGCCTTGCCCCTTCCATTCTGCCCAAGGCCGCAGAATGAAGCTGTTATTAGGCCCAGGGAAGCAGGGTCAAGGATAGGTGTAGCGGGTGGGAGCACGTACACTCTGGTCTACCTCAGTTCAAGCCTACATCTCTTCTCCTGGCTGGGAGTCTCCTCCTTTCTCCCAGGCTAGAGCCCTGCGCAGGAGAGAGCTGGGGTCTCCTAGAGGCTGACAAGGCCAAGGCTGGACACTGACTGAGGGATCATTGAGGGGTGCTGAGATGCAGCCCCTGTTCCACCTGATGACCAACTACAGCATCCTGGCCTTTCTCCAGTCTCCCTCTATCTCTACAACAAATGGGGTCTCCTGGGAGCCCAGCTCCCCCTGCCCCAAGGCCTGGAGACCTTCAGGAGGTCCTTCCTGAAGTCTGACTGCAGAATCTCCTGCCACAGCTTGTCCCCTCCTCTGGCTCCTTCTCCTGTGACTCCACCTATATGGCTGGCACTGGTGGCTTCCCCGTAATTAGCACTCAGACTGGGCTGGGATGAGGGGAAAGTATACTGGGGCTCATACACACCCATCACCTTTCTGGAACACCGGATGCAGAGCCTTCCACCACCTGTCCTCCCGCCCCCACCCCTTCCACACCACAGACCTCTCAGAGAGCAGTTGTCCTGGGCCCCACCCAGGTTCACGTTCCTGTGTCCCCATTTCTGCCTGCTTTCAGCTTCTTGCCTACTGCCCTGCCCACTCCTCCTTCTAAATCCCAAACCCCACTCTCATCATTGGACCAGGTCACTGCATCTCCAGCCTCCTTTACAGATCCCCACCTCCTATCCCTGACTTCTAAACACTGAACCCAGCTCCACAGCCAGGCTCAGACGGGGACACACAGAGATATACACGCAGACTCCCAGGGTCGCCCGCATGTACACACAGACCTCCACGGGTACACACATACACAGAGCCCAGAACACACATGGA